GACTAAACTGGAAGTTAGCCAGCTCACCGGCAGAAGTCAACACAGTGGAACATACAAACCTAGAAAAAAAAAACTAGTGTTTTGGCGTTGTACTTGCAGAGCGACACAGACACCAACGCACAAGTATAAATGTGAGGGTACGTGCGTTGCCAATGCCATAGGTATCGGCATCGAGTCATCGCTGGAGTATAAATCCAGCTTCCCTTCTCTGCTTTTGATTGTCTCTCACTGTCTTCCATGCGTGAGTTGGGGAAAAACACATCCAACTGGTGCATACTGAATGAAGCATCCTGTAAAGTTTGTCTCAGCGTAAATAGAGAGATGCTCAACTAACCTTAAGTCCACAGATTCTTTTAACAAAGTGTCACAGGACACAAAGTAGTGTACAGTAAAAGTATGTGTCATGTGATGTGATTTGACCATGGATTGATTTGTTAGAAAACTATAAAAATGTGTTTGGACTGCGCATTTCCAGGCCTTTTTCTGGCTCAGTGGGGTGACTTTGCGCAACAGTAAGCATGATTGGCATGCGTACAGTAAAGTCAATGAGTTACCATATGACTGAAATCTATGCATTTTCTTGTTATTTCTGACCATTTGATAAACAAAATATATCCACAACGTGGAGGAGTAAAGGCATACATTAGTGTATTAATACTTTACATTACAATACTTACTACTACATTACAATACTTACTACATTACAACATTAAATAGAAAGTATAATGTTAGTATAATAATATATTTACAGGTTACATTTTATTTGGATAATTTGCCTACAGATAGTTTATTAGGTGAGATTCAGTTGTTTCACAAATAATACCATTTTCTGATATTAGCTTACACCACTGTGGTTAATGTTTGATTAGTGCTAATGTTAGTATATTCATTATAATTTCAGATAATAGTACAGGTTACTATAGCTTACCATTAGTAGCCTAATATTAATTCCAGTAGGAAAAAAACAGCAGTTTCATTTTCATTTTGTCATTATTGTGCAAGAAAGATGCTCTACATGGTGGTCTCTGATTTGTTTATGCAGAGTACAAACTTGTCAATAATAAAAATCGTGCATACAGAACAACGAGTTAAGCATATCTAAAGTTTGCTGGGGTGCACATAGACTGCGCCTCAGCCTTTATTTAATGTCCGGCCTCCTCCTGGATGTGATTGGTCAGTTCACAAAAGTGACTTTGACGAGCAACTACACATACGGCTGCACGACAGGCTCCCGATCTCCCTGCGGAGAAAGTGAGTGATCGGCCCACTTGAAGCACAAACGGCTTTAATATAGTGACAAATCACAGTAAGTCATTTCTTCCAGTAGTCTTCATAGCATCAAACCAACGCAGCAGCTGGTTTATAAATCCAGCGCCAGCTGCATGTGTAAAATACAGAGGCTGTGGATGGTGGCTAGAGGTGACTGCTGGAAGACAAGACTTATCTAAGTTTATGTTCTGCTTGCTCAACAGTTGTTTGATAAATACTATTGAAACACATTCGGAGACTATTTGAAACGCTTTTTTTCAATTCTGATCATTTTGGTGCTGGTGATTTTTCTTTGGCGGTCCCTAAAACCTCTTTGGGGGCCACCAAAAATTTCTCTATGCAGGAAAAACCCTGTTTTCTGTTCCGCTGATGCATGTACACAGCTTCTAATGAAACTATAGTTGAAATAGAAGTCACCCCACCAGTATACAGTGAGAATGGCATCCCATTGAACGTTTAAGTAAGTTACTGGATGTAAACCTTTTTTCTGTACGCATGACAAAACTTGCCTTTTGTGCGCAACTTTCACTTTTGTTTGCTGCTGTATGTGTCCTGCAAACTGTAAGCTTTCAAGACTCCAGTCCAATCTCTATTGTATTTTTCACAGCCTAATACAAAAGCTGAGTGTAGCTTAAATAACAGTTTATAAAGCTGTCGCAGAATTGATGGTGTGGACAATGCGGGTGACATATTACAGGCTGACAGAAATCAAATTCCATAAAAGTGAAATTGAAAACCCTCCGTGAGGCGGCCTTGCTGCTGAGTAGACAGCTCGTTTTAAAGTTTTCAGAGGACTGGAGAAAGCCAGCGCTGTGTGTTGCAGCCCATTTTTAGAACAGGCCATGGACCCATGAATTCAAACACTACTAATTCTCTGTCATATATGATTTTATCTCTATATTTCTTCCTGTCAGATTAGGTTATGAAAGTGTTGCCTGTGAGCTGATGATGGCGGATTTGGAGGATTGTGCTGTCGGACATGTTGGATCATAGAACAATGATGTTTATATTGTGTTGTACAAGTGCAGAAAATGCATATCCACTGGTTTTGTTGCACTAGTATGCATTGATATCATGTAAATAAAAGGGCTAATGACCCTTTATAGGGGTTTACATGTGGTTTGTTTATAAAATAAAATAGGAAGACAGTACAGTATTTCATTAAATAACCCTTTTGTTACTGAAAACAGTAGCTTCAAGGACACAGTTACATATGAGGACCCAGTGCAGGAGTTATAACTTGTATTATTTTGTTGCCGATCTTGCGTGTGTTCCTAGAGAGAATAAAATGTAGCCTCTTTTGCAAACAGTGAATGACGTAGGTTATGAGAGTAGGAGGAAGCAAAGACCTTTTAAAGCCAGCATGTGCAAAGCATTTGTCACTGGGCTGAACGCTTTTGTAAAATGATCTAATTGCAATTTTTTTTTTTACCAATATTGCGATTGCGTTTTAATATGCGATTAATTTTTAAGCTCTTTACCTTCTGTATTATTCAAAACGGACAAGCAGTAAATCAAATGTAGCCTATAGTATGACCAACACAATATTAGATAGATTAAACATACACTGTTATTTCGTGTGAGTCCGGCCTGTGTTATGATGAAATTAGGTGATGCATGAATTGCATGAATTATCATTATGAGAAATGGTGGAGAAGAAATTATTACAAATATACAAATTATAATAATATCAGAAAGATAATTTGAGAGTCAAGTCATGGCATTAAATGATATGATATTATCTCATCAGGTCGGCCTACCTACAGTAGTAGGTATTATACAGTAAGCACTCAATACAAAACCAACAGTTCAACCACCAATTAATGGCTACGCTCAGACTGCAGGCCAATGTGACTCAAATCCGATTTTCTTGCCCATATGTGACTCAGATCTGATCTTTTTATGACAGTGTGAACAGGCCATGTCACATGGACCACCACCACCAAGTTACCCGCATGTGGCGAGTGCTAATTTAATTCCCTGTGTGATGCTTACGTTTCTGTAGTGTCAGTTTCTGTCAAGCTTAAGGCCATTCTACAACAACAAGTCAAGGTACAGCGTAACAGTTGATGCATCCTCTGCAGACTGGTTAACTCTTGCGTGTCATGTGACCAGAGGGTAATCGCAGCCATTTCGATTATAAAATCTCGCTAATCAGGGATGTGATTTTTCTGCTGACGTGTGTAAAGTTTTCTTCCTTTGCAAGTATCAACAAGGATGAAGATGTTCGTTTGCGTTCAGCTGCCCATTCCACACCTGAGCAGTGTGTACCACAGTCGCTCTCGCGCATCAGTGGTACGTAACGTGTTGGGCAGTAATATTGTAATATTACTTTTCCCAGTAAAGAACAGAATGACGCATTACTATTTGCAAAGCAGTAATGTTATTACAGTTACTAATCATATTAAGGCTGCCCTACTGAACGCACCATCCCTGACGAGTGCACTGCAGCTCAGCGGCACCGGACCTTATCAGCTATTAGCCAAAAAGGAAGACAGGAGAACAGGGAGGAGAGGTATTTTCGACAACTGTAAGTAACATTGTTGCCATTATTGTGTCACAGTCTAAGATGCAAAGAACATTGTCGTCCGTTGTAAACTTTGCGCGACCAGCAAAAAGCTTTTAACCGCAAACAATTCTATATTGACTTAGGCTAACTGGAGCATCAGCTAAAGCAAAACAGCAACATGAAACTCTGAAACTACTGCCAGTGATGCTTGGACTCATCGGGAGAGTGTGGCATTATATCACCGAGTACCCAGTAATAAGTAGGCTAGAGTAGCTAATATTAGTTTTTTAAGGAGTAGCCTATATGCCAAGTAACTAGCTAATAGCTATATTATTTCTGAGTAACTTGCCCAACACTGAGTTGACAGTAAGCATCGGATAAATTGGGTAGGATTTGATTATTGCTTGTTATAGGCTATGTCTAATGTTTACTTTGACTTTGTTTGTCGATTGATCAATCATATAGACTATATACACTTTGCTGTATGAATGGTAGCTTTTGAAGTCATCCTGATGTTAAAGGTTTTGGCAAGTTATAAATTAATTTCTTGTGAATTGTTGTGACAGAGTTTATATAAGGCCTTTTCAGACGGCTTTGATCCACAGGGTCGCTCTGCACTCTTCATCAACAGACAGACAAACAAGCGCTCTGCGAGGTAACCATGGCAATGGCTTCTGTGTAACTGGCGTGATCCCGTGAAACTGGCACAGTCATTGTCGTGTCACGCATACGCCCGCCTGCTGCCAGAGTTGAAATGTAAAAACTTTCCTACAGTTTATCAATAGACAGAGACTGATCTGCTGTTTGATCAGAGTTTCCTGAATAATATAACGGTTTCTTTAACAGTTAGGCCACCAGATCTTTAACAGGCAACAACCTTTGTTGCTGTCTCTTATTCATTAAAAATAATCTATTAACTTCTACTGAAGTAATTTGAAAGTTAGTAGTTACATTATTTAGTTATAGAATCAATTATTTCATGCTACATGTTGCTTATATTCCTCTGCTGGGACTATTTTTGTGTCCTCGTCTCATTATCATATGACACACACAACACCAGCACATGATTACCACAGTATTTTAAGCAAACAGAGGGATTTTGGCACAAACTGAGATCAACCCATCTGATGATTAGGACATTGTCTGTGAAATACAGCACATTAAGAATTTTTTTTGTCCTATGTGTGTAAAATGTCATGTTTTTGTGTCTTCTTGGATGAAGCAGTTGCCCCACGGCGATGGCCGCCTGTCGAGCCACAACATGTCCTCTCAGTACCGGATGCATTCCTACTACCCAGCAGCCACCTACCTGACTCAGGGCCTGGGCTCCACCACCTGTGTGCCGCCCCTCTTCAGCCTGGAGGACAACAACAACAACAACAACAACAACAACTGCTCTGAAACCATGGAGGCCTGTGAGTGACACACACACACACACACACACACACTTTGCAGGCCCCATCAAGTTTTACCCAGACTTGATCAACAGTGTGGTTAAGTACATTCAAGGGAGGATTTCACTCAAGTCAAGGGTGCCATAAAATTTAAGATTAATTTAGTCTAAAGTGAAGCTTTTTGTACTTTTCCTATACTTTTATTTTTCTTCAAATACAGACGTGTATGATGTGTGTCTGCCTCAGAGTAAATTCATGTGTCTTATGTGACGCAAACCTTAGGTGTGAGAGACACGGCTTCAAATCCCCACTGTGACACGTCCACCAATGTGTCGTTGAGCAAGACACTTAACCTTTAGTTGCTCTAGAATTGTGCGACCTCTGACATAAATAGCAATTGTAAATCGCTTTGGATAAAAGTGTCAGCTAAATGAATAAATGTAAATAATTAGCAGCCATCAAAGAAAACAACCAAAAGGTGTCAAAGACATGACAGTGCAGCTCTGTTTCTTTTTGTCGTGTTTAAAGATGAAGTAGATCTTATCTCTGATTTCTGACTATACAGCCGTAGATCTCTGGCGCTCTATGCTACTAAACTCAGCTGAGCATGGCTGCTGAGGGTAGTTGCCTGGATTTTCTGCCTTTCTCAGTGCCTGTGAATGTGGGTAAATCAGATTGTGTGTATTGCCAAATATGTTCAGCAAAGTATTTGTGGAACTTTGCAAAGAATGCACGATGAGAGATAAGAGGGAAGAAATAGAACAATTCAGTGAGAGAGAGTTGTTTTAGTGTGCTTCAGGAAAGATAAATAAGTTTTAGAACACAATTCTGTGAGACACCTTTTTTCTATGTCTTGTCAAAATAAGCGCAAGAGGAAATGATCGAATGTTGCTAATCGCAGCGTGCATGTTGCAGATTTGGTGAAACAGGCACCAGATCATCAGCGAGTGAGATAAGTTTGAGAAGTCTGTAGGTGGCGCTGTTTTCTTTGTCTGTTCAGCCAAAGTGGAAATCACTGCTTACGTTTACTATCCAGCTCTTACTCTGTAAAGGCACCATTGTAAGCCCTAATTATAACTCGTTAACTCTTGGAGAGTTTGGGTTGTTACAGTGATGCTGATTTAGTGCTCTATAAAATGTGATGTTTTATAGATTCAAGTCTCTATGCTAACTTTTTTCCCAAGGAGTACATGACACAAGACATTTAGGAGCACGTTGACACAGAGTTTATTAACAATCAATTTATTACTTGGATATTTATACTGTGTGTGTGTGTGTGTGTGTTTCTTCTGATTGGGTGCAATTATGATGTGAAATCAGTGGAGGACTAGTGAAGTGAAGACCCTGGTATCTGGACACACACATGGGCCTTTACACATTGACAAAGCTTTTTAAAATATTGAAAATTTGACACATTGAAAACAGCTTTTAAAACACTTATCACAGTGATGAGAAAAAACACTCATCACAGAAGACGTTTTTGAACAGTGACGGATACACGATACACCAGCAGCACCCACACAACCCATGCCACTCTTTATGTAAACAAGATTACTGAACGATGTTTATAACAATAACTATAGTAAAACATATGTAAATTAGAACACATGTAAAATAGAATCAGGAAGAGGTGGCTAAAAGCAGCGCATTTTGTCACAGTGGCATCTTGGCTCTGGCTCATCGTAAATTCTCTACGTATCAACCAAAGTTAGCAGAACTCCCAGAAGCAGGCGTGCATGTGCAGCATCCGGCAGACAACGAATTAGATGTAAAACTGTTCCAACAGGATCCACGCTGCAGACTCCTCTGTATCTATGTCAGTTGTTGGACTCATTGCAGTTACTATCACGGCCTTCTTAAGACTCATTTGTAGTCATGTAATTGTGCATGGGGTCACTGCATTTACTTATATACTACTACTAACAATATGATTATTATTATATAACATCTTTATGTTAGTGCACATTTCACATGATTTTCATATGTTTACATAAGGTTTGGCTGCAGTGTTTCCTCCAGGATTTTTTTCAGCAGCGGGGGCAGGAGATAAAAAGAAACGTCTCCTCATTACTTAAAAGGAGTAGTTTGCATCACTAAGTAGCTTTACTAACCTCAGCTCCTCCAGTCACCTCCGTCCTTTCTTTTCCAAAACCACTTTTTCAGACTGAAAACTGAAAAATAATTGAATCAGTCTGTACAGGTCAGAGCTGCAGGCTACGTCTATTTAGTCTAAGTTTGTACCTGATGTTCTCAAAATTGGACTAGTAGGCAGTAATAAAATACAGCTTCCAGTTACTTTCTATAAATTGAGCTAATGTTAAGTTACATAGCAGCTGTGTAGCTGCTGTAGAAGCTTTCCTGCTCAGCTGCGCAGTCTGAAGGGGAGATGTTAGCTAGCGCTTCACTTTTTCCAGCAGGTGGGAAACAACAGACTTTTCTTGGTCTTGAGAAGCTGACACACTGTAACCAACACCGTACATTTACTGCCAGAATATTTTCCTCCGCTCGCATTCACCGTCACTTTCTGCCGCTCGGACAATCAAACACTCGCTACGCACCTCCTGATTCAGAGTTACGCTGCTGTTATAACACCATCTGTCACGTATGTTCTGCATAGAACGAGCATTGAGTGCTGCCCTGCTGGCACAGTGTGCGAGTGAAAACATTTGTAGCGCATAGTTTAATGATCGTGAGAAATTTTAGTAGTGGCAGTCGTGATTCAGCAGATAATTTTGGTCACTATAATCATGATATGAAATGTTCATACCGTTTCATCTCTAGTAGCTCATCAGCCTTTTTTTTAATGTCCCGCCCCATCTAGGCTGTGATTGATCATTGGCAAGCACACCAGCTTTATGAAAAGTTGTTGTTTCATCAAAAGGGGCCGACATATCTAAGCCAGCCAAACCCAAACCTTGCTTATCTTATCCCTGCTGGCTTTTGTCTTACCGCTTCAGCTGCCAACGATGCATCTCTGTGGTGTGTATTTTTGTATAACAGGCTGCTCTAAAGGCCCACAGAGTAACGACCCCACCGGGATTTCTACCAGTGCTGCCGGTAACCAGTCGGGTGATGATCCTTTACTTTCATTAACTTTTCTGACGGCACTTCATTCCACAATTGACCTTTTTTCTGAGGTCGCCTGATTGGCTAATTTAGAGTATTTATGTATAAACAAAGAACTGTGGTGACCCTGAAGGTACACCTGAAGGTTATGAAGACTGAAATGCTATAGATGAACATGCCATCACCAAGTGAGACACAGTGCTGTAGACCTTTAACTTTTACTCAAGTTGTGTTACACCTGTTACTTTTTCAGGTGTGCAGGGATATTTTCCAGTTATGTGAAGCCTTATTTGTGCCCTTGAAAGTAACCAACTCTGTCTGGTGTTATCCAGGTTTGTCCTGAATAGGTGTGATTGACAGAAGGCAGGTCCTGTTAGTTATTACATGTCTTTTTTTGTTTTCTGTCTTGTTTGAAACTGAATTGGAGCGAAGAAACCTAAATGGTTTATTAAAACTAATTTGTATTATCTTTAATGATGGCTCAAAAACTTTAATCACTGCTGCTTTTTTCCTTAAAATACAGCAGTTTGATTAGTGATTTAACCACAACTCCTTACCTAGTGTAACTAAAACAAAAAAAGGCAATTTTCTTTTCAGGAATTAAAAGATAAAGTTTTATTGTATGTTATTACTCATTTATAAAGATCATAGGAGAAGGGCATCAGTAGTAGAACATCAACATCCGTCTTTTAGTGAAATAGGCTGCTGACACCACCAGCATCACCAACTAAAGACCCCCGCATCTTCTCTTGTACATGTATTTGTTTATGACTTTCACCTGTCTGTTTCCTGTGAGGGTCCCACGTCAGCCCCCTGCTGTGAATCGCCATGCTCCATTACAAGATAACAACGCTCTCAGCGGGTGGTCCCACAGTTGGTGAGAAATATCAGTGGTTTTCAACCTTTTTTCTGGCTCGTGACCACTTAACAGGAAGCTACTTCAGCACAGGTTGCACATTTTTCTGTATTTTTTCAGAGTGATTTTCTCTTCTAGAATTTGTATTTAAATACATCTTTTCGTGTTTAATATGTAGAAAAATCAGCAGCGAGTTATTAAAATGAGGTTTTTCTAAATGTATGAGGTAAATTAATTCTTGCAACAGTCTTTGGAAACAAGGTGGAATTGTTGTTTTCCAAACTTTAGGAATCGGTTTTTGCCTCGTAATCTTCCCATTATTAAAGCTTATGGTATATGAATTGAACCAAGTGTCTTTGGGGAAGTATTCCTCTTTTGTATATATTGCAAAGTACTTAAAAAATATTAGATCCAAATGAATCTAACATTAGATGCTCCCAAAATTTTCTTCCTGGATTTTGACTCTGTTATAAAATGAGATGCTGAAGGGTCTGTGTATCTGTGTAACATTATTTTTGACTAATAACATATGTATAACTTAACTGCGTTGAACTTTGCCTGGTATTTACCCAACATTTGTGGATTCAGGCCAGTGCTGGCTACCATATCTTATTTGCCATTTATCAGAATACTTCTGAGGCATTGAAGGGTAAATCTGTCCTGTATTTACGGCAAAGGTTTCAGACACAGTAGAGAGAAGTAGAGAAAAGTCGTAGAAATATGTTTTTTTTTTACTTTCCAATTCTGTTTTGATTCACCTTCACTGAAATCTTAGGGGAGTGTCTTTGCTCGTCTTCTGTTGTACTGTACGTTAGACTATAATAATGTGATAGATGGATCAGAGTTAGGGTCTGATACAGGATGCCATCCCTATAAAACAATTTGTTTTCAGTATCTCTTGTTATACAGAGCTGAGGAAAGACCTTTGTTAGAGGTTGTATTGTCAAAGAGTCAGTCTAAACATGTGCTACCCACTTGGTGTAGAAAGCCTTTCTAATGGTCGCAGTTTGGTGAGGTTTAATCACCAAAACGACTTCGTGCTTCACACGGGACACTAAGCCTTTCTCCCCTGTGTGGTATAAACACTGCCAAATGTGTG